TTCTTCAGATGCTGAACTTTGCAGAGCCAAAGTTGGGAGCACGCAACGGTGTCACTCGATAGCCCCTCTTCATGCTAATTTTAGGTGGTGGAACTTTTCATGCTTTTAAAAAGTTCCTTTATTTATTTTTGAGAAACCTCTTATTAGTGGCTACCATAAACACTGTTCTATCTGATGTTTTGAACTTACCTACAGGGCTCTAGAAGTCACAAACAACCAGCACCTGGCATGATCTCAAAGGAACAATCACCTGTTAATTTTGTAAACTGGACTGAGTAGCATGATGCTCCCAACATGCAAATGATTTCAGATGGAAACAAATTACACATCAGTAAGTAATGCATTTCTTTTTGGTTTTGGGGTTTTTTTTCCAGTTAATATTAATCTCTGATTTTTGTGGTAGACTGTTCCACCATCACTCATTTGTTTGCCCTGGGACATGTGTTTGCTGCATCTGCTTTAGACAACTAAGGCACAATCCCTGTGGGATTCAGGAGATCCTGATTGGACACTCTTAGATCCAGGCTGAGCATCTCTCCAAAGACAACAAATCAAGTTTGGCCATTCAGGATAGGGGCTGGATCCCATCCTCACACTACTTACACCTAAATGGATGAGGCACGTTGACAGTGAGGATGGTGACTGAGCAGCAGGATGGGAGTCAGCACCAATGCCTGGAGCTGCTGTTTTGTGTCAGAGGAGGTGAGCAAGGCAGGAGACCAGTCAAGGAGCTCACAGCTGCTCCACAGCCTTGGGGAAGACTCACCTATGCAACCAGGCATTTCATTGGATAATTACAAATTACACTGGCAATTTGCTTCTTTCATGCCTTAAAGGGCTCACTTGTATAAATCCCAATGGGATATCCCCCTCACTTTTACTCAACCTTTTCCCATTCTTCCCATCATCCTCACAAGTCTCAAGTCCATTACACTTTTTTCTATTTATTTAATGCCTGTCTTTAGCATTGCTAAGCCACTATTTCTGAAAGTTATCAGGAAGAGATGAAGCACCTTTCTGAAAATCTGTGATCTAAATCAAATCACTCCACTGCACCTAATGCAAAATCCACCTGTCTCAAGGATCCTTGGAATGGTTCCACAGCTAAAGTAAATCCTAGCTCCAGCTACACTTTTGTCAATGTGAAATACATTTTTTCTCTTAACCTGCTTATATACAGACATATATATATATAAAATGCAGCATCAGGGAAAGTGTCTTGAGCTGGCAAGGAGACACCAACAGACCAGCCTCAGAGCCTTGTTCAGCAGCAGATCAGCTGCCACCTCAGTATTTATAGCCACCCTGCTCTTTGAGCTTGTTTATTTTCCTTCCCAAAGGTGGTGGTGGCAGGAGGCAAAGCTCTGATATTCAGGCTCAGGTGTCCCCAGGGCTGACCTTTCCTTCAAAGAGCAGAAGCTGCAGACACATTTCAAGGAACAAAGTCATTTGGAAACTCTAGACTCTTGTGCCCATTACCACCCAGTGCAGAGCTGCAAACAAGGGCTGAGCAGAGATCTGTTAATTAGCATGCACACATATACATTAGGATGGATGTAAAAATGAGCCTGTAATTATTTTATACCTGGAAAGAGAACCAGATGAAGTCCAGCCCCCAGTCTTGAGGCAGAACAAGTGCCACATAAAGACATGACACTCAGACTTGAGTTTTCCATTATTTAAGTTTCCCCCAAGTTTAAATAACTCTATTCTATAGCATTACAGTCATCATGGACCACCTTTTTCAATCCCATCTTGCATACATTCATGTAGAATTCATCTGTTAGACCCTGTTGGGAAAAAAAGCAGCCCTGAAGCCTGCCACAGAAAGACAAGCAGCACATTTCAGCAAGACTGGAGCCTCCACACATTTATTTCAGAGCCAATGCTGCCAAAATGATGTTCCCCTTCTGCATAATCTAGACAAGATGGGTAAAGAAGAAATTGTAGTGAAGCAACACCTCAAGGCATGCCACCAGTTCAGAGCACTGAGAGCCCACACAGGGGTTCCCAGTCTCTCTTTTTGGGCACTGCCAACCTGCCAAGGGGATGGTAATTTGGGGAAGCAGGGCAGGACAGGGGATGCAGGCAGCCAGCAGATACAGGGACCAGGAAAGCATCACTCTTCTACACCAGGCTTTGAGGTGAAGACTAATCCTGCAAGACTCACTCAGTGTGACACTTTGTCCTTGTTATGCTCAAAATGCAGCAGTTTCAGGAGAAGACAGAGCTAAAGTCTCACAGCAAAAGCCTCTGAGATGCCAGTGCTGCAGGAACCACAATGCTGTGAAAAATGAACAGAGGAATAATAGGAAGCAGTCAGCTACTGACTGACCCCAGACCAGTGACGGCTGCAGAGTGGCACCAGCCTGCTCTCCTTCACTCAAAATCAGCCACAGGTCCCTGCAGGTTCCTGATGAGGGAACAGATGAGCCTGCATGCCCTCATCCCCCCTCTTGGCATTGCCCACAATGCACATCCAGCATTTCTGGGCTGCAGCATCCTTTTTCTTCGTTTTGGGGAGGTAGGGGAAGCTTTCACCATTCTGGTAACCCCACTGGCAGTCCCAACACCCTGTGCACACCATGTTCCTTTGGGAGGAGAAACAGCACATCATCAAGTTAATTTAGCAATGGAAACATTCCCCTGGCAGATTTAAGCACCTCATAAAGAGCTGCACAGATTTACTCGTTTACACACAGTTCCCTCCCTGGTCCCTGACCACCACTAGAGAGCTCTGGTCTCCCATAACCTGCTCACTTCTCTGCTGCCACCACAACCTGAATTACAGCAGTTGTTTATTGAAACCACATCTAGGTCCCTGTGGGCTTTAAGTAGAGAAAACACACTCTGCAAATTAACCCTCCTTAGAGAAGGAATCTCACACAGCCAGCCTTTGGGGCCTGCTCTGCCCTCTCCAAACTGGCAGGGCACAGGAACAGTAACTGGAGAAGCTTTCAGCCATCATTTCCACCAGCCAGCTGCAGAATGTGTTGAAAAAATCAGTGCAACCAGTTTGCACACGTGCAAAGTTGTGTTATTTTCACTCTAGCCAGAACACCTCTATGCACCACACTGCTACTGCTCCAGCCCCACCTGAAAATCCCAGCACAGCAGAGGAAGGGCTGAAGGGAGGAAAATGGGGCCATCCTGCTCAGTGCTCTGAGGACTCCTTGAATTCCCACCTCCCAGAACTGAAGCAGAGGATGGAGAGAACAAGGGTACCAATCACGAGAAAGATAAGAGCAAGAAGATATATTTGGAATTCTCCTTCCTCACCTACACTTTTCTGAAGTGTTAGGATAGCAGAAACTCTTCATTGTCTCTACCCCATAAAAGTGTTATTACTTGGAAGGTCACCCCCATAAAAAGGTGGATGGTTCCAAATAGAGCCATCAGCTCATTAGTGTGCTGGGTTCCAGTACAGACAGCTATACTGACCTTATCAAAGCTGGATGAGCAGGATACAGAGGAGTTTATTTAATTTTTTTATAGCTGATATCACCAGTGATTTTGGTTGAAGCCTGTGATGTTGCTCAGGTCTGTTCCCTGGGGAGTTCAGCTCTGTGCTTCTGCTGCTGCTCACACTCCCCAGGAAGTCTCTGCAGGCTGCTCCACTGCTCACCCAAGCATTACTTTCCCCTTTTAGAGGGGAATTACAATTACTGCCAAGGAAAAGTACAGCAACAGAACATGGATGTAAATGGGGCAGGCACACAGACAACCCCTTTCCTGCCTATATCAAGCTCCTTTTCTTCTTGTCACTCAGATTGATGCTTCTCCTCCTCACATTCAAGCAGAGAGTTTCAAGGAAAACAGTTTTGCTGCAGACTTCCTACATGAACAAAATTCTCAGAGGTGCCATCATTACAACATCTTCTTCAAATTTTATTAAATGCTTACAAAAAACAAAAAGAAAATCCAGGGGGCAAAAAGTTTTAAGCAGAAAGCACAATGATGCAGGAAGAAAAACAAGGTGCCCTCCCTCCTTCAGGAGGGTAGAAACAAGTTGCAAAATTATGTTGACATGGGAGGAAGGTAGGAATGAGACTAAAGAGGGGATGGGGACATGTTAACACCATGAAGTATGAAGACATAGGAGAGTTCAGAAACAACCCCAGAAGCTGATTTGCAGACCTCAGGCCCAAGGGCAGAAATGCCACTCTTGAGGGACTCAGTTTCCCCACGTTCACAGCCAGCCTTGGTCTCCCCAAACAATTCACTAGGATGCCATTTCACCAAGACAGCTTCCAGCAGCAGCCATTTCCCAGATATCCTGCTCAGCTTCAGGAACACAGCTCACATGATATCAAGGTGCCACCACATCTGACTTTAGAAGTCTTTCAGTCACTGGCACTGCAGCCCACAGGTCAGAGAATAAGCAAATCACTGTCCCAGAGAAGGGAAATAACACCAGGGCCAGCACTCCTCACCTGGGAAAGGAGATCTCCAATCCATCTTAGGCAGGAGAGGAAGGCAGCAGATATTTGCAACAAAGCTGCTATTGGCCTGCTGAGACAGAAAAGTGGCAGGAACATTTTGGCACGGGTACATAACTGATTAAAGAATGATCTGGGAACTAAAAGAAACCAAGACTAAATTGAATGCAATTTGATGGACACAGACCAGTGATGGAAGTCCCTCCAAGCAGATGACATAGAGGGACAGAGGCTGCATCATAAACAGGGCAAGACTTTACCCACAGCTGGCACCAACAGAGACAAGTGGTCCTTGCACTCTCATCTCACTCTCCCTGCAGTCTCTTTACACTCAGGACCTGCCCACTGCCCTCATTTCAGACATCAATTCTTCACCAGATTTCTGTTGAGCTCCTTCTCTGCCACCACCCACCCACCAAGGGCCACAAAAAGAGAAATTCCTAATCACATAACAAAAGCCTTGCCTGCTCAGCAGGGCAGCAGATCCCTCTCTTCCAACACTTAAGGTGAGGGAACAGAGCCTCTCATCTCCATAGAAGAGACAGATTTAAAAAAAAAAACAAAAAAAAAGGAAAAAGAGAAAAAAAAGCCAAAGAGTAACATAGAAAATTAAAACAGGGATGAGTTTTGTCAGCTGATCTAGTTCCTTTCATCCATCTGGAGGCAGTGTGGGGTACTGCTCAAACCCCAGGAGGAGTCAGGCTGTACCCAAAGCAGACTGACAGCAGTCAGGAGAAGAGAAACATCCTTCAATTATCTTCTGTGGAGCAGAGGAAATAGTGGCACAGAGGGTTGCATTGAGTCAGGATCAAGCTCAGCTGCAAGACAAGAAAACACAATGTTATTGACAGCATTTGGCCTCTCATGAGCAACACCCTGGGCTACACAGAAACTATCTTCTCTAGCAATTACAGGTGGGTTTCTCCCACCCATTTTCACAAAGCCCCATGAATCAGCCCCCCCATAAGGCTTTGGCACAAGTGAACCGTGCTGGGAATACCCATGGCAGAGGAGATGCTGAGGGCTGCACGCCCCACAGAGTCGTGGCTGCACTCCTGCCACGCTGCCTCCCCCCCCAGAAAGGAGACTTGCAGGCTTCCTCCCAAGCCCCTAAAGCAGAGAGTGTCCCCAGAGCCCCAAGTGCCACAGCTCTGCCTGGGACCATCTGCAGCAGGGCTGGGTTCCTGCAGCTCTCCATCTGCTCCACGCACGACAGCTGCTGCAGCCAAGGGGCTCCAGCACACAAATGACTTTTCCATCACTTGATAAATGACTCCTGCATGCTGACACCCTCCCCACTATTCCTGATTTGGGGCTGATGGCAAATGGAGCCAAGTCAGAACAGTTGGGGCCCAAGAGTGGATGAATGTCCATCCACCCATGGGAGCTCAACCAGCAGCAGACAAATTTAACCCTTTCAAAGCCTCTTGACTTCTAGATTCGCTTCCTTCTAGCTTATCACAAACTCACACAAGTTTCTCAGGCAGTGCTTCCCCTATTGTCCCCAGGCTTTCAGCTCCAGCCTTCCCACTGGCAACAAAGCAAGTTTGTCTGCCCCTGAATTTTTGCTTCATTAGATGGCAAGGGGGAAGACAAATCTTCCTTGTTAAGAATTTCTCCTGAGCACACAAAGCCCTGAAGGAGACTCAAAACAAAGCCAGGCATGACAGGAAAGACAAATAAATTAACAGCTGATTTCCTTTTGCTGTCTCTCAGCATCTCACTGCTCCATTAGTCAAGCACACATTCCAGTACAGTCACATGCCATGGAAGTCACCACCTATAAGGACTCCAAGACCCACAGCACAGCAGGTTTCAAGTCAGATGGGATGCTGAGATAGCAGCAAGAGCAATTTTGAAAGCACAGACTATTTGTAAGAGACTACAAATCTTGAGGTTGTGCAGCATGAAGCAGCCTCTGACTTTGGGAGCAGGGGGATTTTCCTGGTGTGTGCACACTAAACTCTGAGAGCCCCCATGCCCTCCTCAGTAGTATGTGGCAGCTTGCAGCAAGTCCCAGGCAAGATCCTTCTCTGACTCATGTGGGGAGCTGCATTTTTCTGGAGTGCAGCAGTCCATAGGACAAGGAAAACACCCAGAGAGCTGATCAGCAGCTGGGGAGTTCACTGCCCTGCCTCTTTAGTATTCCCCACACTAGCCTGAAGCAGGTCAACCTTATAAATCTGGTTTACCAGTGCTGCTGGACCATAGCTCATGTTGTAGTACAGGCTGTCCATGGGACCACATTAAACAGGAGCAGATGAAGTCATTCCACAATAAATCCTACCATGAAGTGCTGGTATTGCTCACCCTTCAGCAGATCTTAAAAAAAGGCATAAAAACCCCACAAGCAATTACCAATTCCTAGACAAACAGAGCCAAAGCAGTGTCACACAAGTACCTACATGTCCCTCCAACTGAGACACTTTGGCTTTCTGACCCAGAAGAGCCTAAAATACCCATGAGGCTGGGGAGGAAAGCAGGTATATGACAAAGGAATGGGCTCTCAGCCTTTTTTTGGAACAGTGCAGACTTGTCTCTAAGAGTAGCTCCTGGAACAAAGCAAATCCTAATGGCAGCCTTGTGCCTAAGGAATTAAGCTGATAAGACACTGGGAATGTCCAACAGTTGTCACCTCCAGCTGACACAAATCCCCTCCAAGCCCCCTCACAGAAAACAGCAGGTCTCTCATGCCTACAGCTAAAGTAAAACATGGAATGATAGAATAGCTTGAATGGGACCTTTAGTTGAAAGGGACCTTTAAAGGTCATCTAATCCAACACCCATGCAATGAACAGGGACATCTGCAACTAAATCAGGCTGCCCAGACCCCCATCCAGCCTGACCTGGAATGTTTCCAGGCATAGGGCATGCACCACCTCTCTGAGAAACCTGTTCCAGTGTTTCACCACCCTCATCATAAAAAAAACAAACCACATAAAGTTCTTCCTTATATCTAGTGTGAATCTACCCTCTTAGTTTAAAAGCTTCACCCTTTGTCCTATTGCAGCATACCCTACTAAAATCCCTGTGCCCCATCTCTCTTAGGAGCCACCTTTACATATTTAAAGGCCACAGTAAAATCTCCCCAGAGCTTTCTCTTCTCCAGGATGAACAACCCTAACCCTCTCAAGCCTGTCCTCAGAGGAGTGTTCCATCCCTCAGATCGTTTCTGTGGTCCTCCTCAGGAGCCGCTCCAACAGATCCAGCTCTCTCTGGTACTGAATGCACAGGCCAGACGCTGCCTGTACCCTGCCCACCACAGCCCCTGCTCTGGAGGGCAGCTCATCCACCACACTGAGGGCTTGACCTCGAAGCTTTTGAGCTCAAAATGCCACCTCTTCAGTGCTTTTATTTGCTGCTGCCTTTATTAACAATTTTTTAAAAATTTAACAAAAAAAAAAATCATCCTTTTCCCCTCATGGCCAACCAGTTTTGGTTTTGGCAGACACACCACCTGCTTGCTGGGTATGGATCACCTTCCCAGCCCAGTGCTGACAGCAGCACTGCAAGCCCCAAGCCAGCCCTGGGCACTCGAGCACAAATAGCTGTTCTGCACTTCCCAGAGTTCTATTCAGGACAGTTTTCCCGCACAGTAGGTATCACATTGCACACCCACACTAACCAGAGCAGGCTGGGAGCCACTGGGAGCAGAACACTGCACACAACACAAATAGCCCCCCGGGCAAGCCTGACATCACCCTGCCCTCCTCTTCCTTGTTTCGGGATGCTCAGTTACACCCAGCACCAGGGATTAAGAGGCTCAGTGATTTATGCCTCATTTCATAGCAAAACTCAGCAACTTTGGGCTGAGCAAGAGCCAGGATAGAGTCAGATTTCCTTCCTGGGGCTGCCAAAGAGTCACTGCAGGTCAGAGGCTGTTTGGTGCTCCCCAGCTTGCTCGGGAACAGAAAGGAGGGAACTGAGATGAGTTTTATCTTTGTATCCCCAACACAAACCCTTCACTCCACTGTGCTCACTGAGCTCCACTGACCAGCACTCCCCAAAAAGGAGGCAGTGATGAGTTAGCAATAAAGAGCAGGACAAGTAGCCATGCATCCCTGCAGGAGCAGCCCAGCACTGGCCAAAGGGCTGCAATTGTCATTGGAGATCAGACCTGACACAGAGCACAAGCCATTTCTGCTTCGTTCAAGAACGATTGATAAAGGCAAAATGGGGCAAAGCCTCCCAAGGGAAAGAGAAAACTTGGTTTTATCTTGGAGGAAAACATTGTCCCTGTGCTTCATGCAGCAAGAGAAGACCAGCCAGAGTCAGTGGTGTGACAAAGGACTTCCTCACTGATAAACAGAGCTTCTGAGAAGCCCTGTATTTCACAGGGGCGTCTTCATGCCAGCTGAAATGAATCAAGGCCAGCACTGACTTTGATTCAAATGACACACGTAGCTTATGGCCATTCCGTTGTATGTAACATTGTATCAGAGCATTAATAACCAAAATTTGGAAAGCCATGAAACATTCCTGCTTTTTGCCTCTGGAGATGTTTCAAAGCTTCAAAATTTCAAACCCACTTTGTTTCCCTTGACATTTCCTTCCAAATCCCATTAGGACTTGCCAAGACACGAACATCTGGGGTCCCCAGGAGCTCTCACTGTGCTAATGCCAGCAGCAGAAGGGCTGTAGGCTTGGCAATACAGCTTCCCCCAGGACATCTCTAGCCCTGCCACACCCACCCTCAAGCCTGGCTGAGGTTACCTCAGGAGAGCAAAGCAAACACTGATGCTCTTCTCCTACAATATTGACTCCATACTCATAGCTTTTAGAGAGAGGAAGAGGAGGACTCGTATATAAATATTTCAGAATCCAGCCCAGGGCTAAGCCCACACCAACTCTAAACTTGGTCTTTTCTTGCAGGAAATGACAATGCTGATAACAGTATCATCCTCCACCCAGCCTGTTCCCAATCACCACCCCCTTTCCCCCCCTCCCACCCTGCCCAAGCCTGGGAAGGACAACCTGCGGCTGCAGCGGCTGCTGAAGAAGGCAGCGAGGAAGAACGCCACCCTTGCCTCAGAGCAGGGCAAGTCCTTCCGCTCCAGCCTGTCGCCCGTGAACGAAGCCAGCCCCGACCAGGAGTGTGCAGAGAGCGCTGCCCCAGCAGCAGAGACCCCCGAGGCCCCGGCAGCCCCCCGTGCCCCCCTGCCCACCCAGCTCTCCGTCAGGCCCGTGGGCCACCGCGCCCTCTCCCCGTTCCGGAAGGGGAAGCCCTTCACGCTGAAGGTCACGGAGCAGCGGCGCATCGCCGAGCACGTCAAGCTCACAGCATCCTCAGCCATGCCCCTGCTACAGAGGCCAGAAGCTCCTGAGACTCCACAGCAGCCTGAAGGCACGGGCTCCCACCTTCCCTCTCCATCTGACCCTTCAGTACCTGTTTTCCCCAAGCCTCCTCCTCCCAGTACACCCAGCAAAGAAAGGGCACCAGAGGTTTCCTATGTCACCAAGGTGAACACTTATTTTCACAGTGTCAAGCCACCCAGGGCTAAGACTCCCACACCAAACCCAACCCAAGGAACTGTCAGCCACGAAGACAAAAGGCCTACTTCCCCAGCACCTCAAACAAGCAGCTCTGAACCACCTCCAGAGCAGACACCCACCTCACTTAAAGACAACAAGGCAGCTTCCTCCTTGCCAAAACCTTCCCTCGTTCCTGCTGCAGAGACAGAGCCTCCTGATCAGGCTCCCAAGCCTGTTCCTACTGAGAAGCCCAGCACCTCTGATGCCCACACCAATAAGCCTACAACCCATGGAAGTGACACTGAATGCAAGGCAGCTCCTGAATTACCAGAGCAAGACAGAGACATCCCAGAACCATCAACTTCCAGTGCTCCTTGGAGGCAAGCACGCCCAGCAACAGCAGCACAAGCTAATGGTAGCGGGTCCACCCCCACAGACACCAAGGCAGAACACATCACTGAACCCCAGATGACTCCCAGCTTACCCAACACCAGCTGTCCCCCCAAGGCTGAGCCAGCACCACCATCAGGAGAAGCACCAAGAGCTCCTGGAACCAGTGCCAGTGGCTGGCATCGCCTCAAGAAGCACTTGATAGTGCAGCCAGAAGCAACCAACTTCCCAGAGTCCCAGCCAGAGAAGCTGGGAGAGGAGGAAGGGAATAAAGCTGATGCTGCTCAAGCAGTCATCAAGCAAGACTGCATGGTGGTTAAATCAAAAGCCATGAGAATGTGGGATGCCATCTTATACCAGGTGGCACTCGGCAAGGAGAAGAAGCAGCAAGCAGAAGAGAAGAAGGCTCAGAAAGAAGAAAGCTTCTTTCTGCCCCGCCGCCTGCCCATCCTCCTGCACAAGCCGCGCTTTGACGCCCGCAAGCTGAAGGAGCTGGCAGCCAAGCCCATGACAAAGATCAGCACCGTGTTTGAGGTGAGCCGCTTCCGGCCCAAGGGGGCTGAGGAGCACACCAAGAGCTTCAACAGAACGGCATCAGGATGGTCTGTGCACTGACACCAGGCTGCTCCACGCCTCCGCAGTGCGCCAACCTCTGACCAAGCCCAGTGCAGCCACGTGCAAGGAAAAAAGGAAATTAAATTAAATAAAACCCCACCAAGCCAGCAGCACCATGCTGCAGGTTTAAGGGTTACTCTCAAAAGCTCAAATGCATAACTACCACATCCACAAGTCACAGGAAAACAAACATGCTTGTTTTAAAAAGAGTCAACAACAATCACTGGAGGCAGTAAGAGAGTGAAGGCACACAGTGAAGAGAACAAGCTGCCTATAGAAAAAAAGACCAGTTTAGAGTAGGATAATGGAATCTGAATCTTTTTGTTGCATTTATCTAAGAGATTGATCCTAGGAACAAGAGCAGTTGCATCTGAAATGACAGAATCTGGGTTGCTCCATGTCTCTAGGGAGTTTCTTAGAAACCAAACTCAAAGAGGATACACATAGCCCCTAACTCATCTACTTAAAGCGTGCCCCATTCTCATTTGCTAAGAGCAAAAAGGAAACTCATCCTTTCACCCAAAGCACAGACAAGAGACAAAGATATCCTGCTCTCACCAAACAGCTCATCTGCCTATCAAAATGGGCATCATCTGACAGCCTCCTAGGCCAGTCTACTTAATAATAATGCACAGAAGAACAATTTTGTTTCAATAATCAAGTTCTGTTATGTATTTTACCATGTTTTCTCCACAATAGCTGACAGTTAATGTTCCCACTATAACCAACAAAACCCTGCCTTAGCCTGTGGATATCCAACTCTGTATTTAACAAGGTGCTGGTTTCTGAGTGGCTCTGCTAACCATTTTTAGTCTCATTTTCAGGGTGAGCATCATGACAGTTGCACACCTGCTTGTCCCTGATGTCCTGAAAAAAAGGGCATTTAAAGGAAAATGCCCAACTCTGCCCACCCACAGAGACAACTGGGCTTTCCAGTATTGCCCTTTGCAGCTCCACTGCCAGCAGGCTTGTGAGCATGAAAGCTGGGAGATTGGTTATTTCTGTTTCACAAGGAACTTGGTCATGTGCTGGGGTGTTCCTACACAGCTAATATAGGACTGCTATGTTTAGCCCAAGTAGAATATAAAGAGCTGTGTACAGAGTTTCCTTTTACACGTGCAGAGGGTATGGAACTGACCAACAGTTGCTCGGGCCAAGCTGCAAACAGACTTAGAAACAAAGAGTCCCTTTTGCCTTTTTTGAAGTCTTCCTATTTTGCAGTGATGCTGTAAGAGCAGTTCATTTAGCAAACCTTAAGTTTTCACTTTACCAGTCTTATCTCTATTCTGTAACTCCTTCCTACTCAGGGCAAAAGCAAGTAGGAAGAATAATCCAATTATCTAAAGGTGGGGATTTCTTCAAAATCCCAGTTTTCAAAGAAAAAGGTAACAAGAAGTTGGAAACATGCAGTAATCACATGTGAATCCTAGGAAAGCCTCTGCAGGATAATTTAACATTGCTGCAAGAGAAGGCTACAGAGAAGAAGGCTACAGAAAACATCCATGCAGCAGCACAGCCATAAAAATTTAAAGTGTGCAGCATAAAACACATAAAGCAGATAAAGGCAGCCTTACCAGAGTGTGATAAATGGCACCTCACTGCAGCACAGCCAGATGGATGCCTCTGCACAAAGGTCTGGATGCACAAGAGCCACAGCACTGGCATGAAGCAGAGCAGCCAACATCAATTACATTTGGGAGACTAAGTGAAGGTGGTTTAAGAAGCACTTGTGCTTTAAAACAGCTTTTGTCCTGCACCAAGGACAACCACCCAGAGAAAACCAACATCTCTCACCCAAGGCTTAGGTTTTGCATCTGCTGGGCTTCCAGTCAGGCTGCATTCACACCCCAGCCCCACTGTACATGGATGAAGGATGGGGAGAGCAATTCCCACAAGCAGAAGGAAGGAGGCAGAGGAAGGCAGCTCTGGGTGCATGATTTAGCCCTTTTACCCCAAAAAGGGCAAAGGCACACAGCAACTATGGCAAGTCCTGCAGAGAGACAGACCCTGACACAAGGGTACTCAGAGATGGGAGAGCATATCCATGGAGGCAACAGATTTCTACCAATGGCTGCTCGCTGGAAGTCACTGTGGTGTGTTCCAGCCTGAGCTGCTGTGCTGAGGAAGAGAAGGGGAATGCTACTGGGCACAGAATTTGCCCATTTTTCAAATGGCATCAGGCAGTTGCTAAATGCCCAAACTGATACCTACAGAAAAACCCCTGTTCCATAGCCTGCAGTGAGGTCCTGCAGCCCAGGAAGAGAGGGAAGGAGAAAAGCCATACCTGTGTTTAAGCAACTAGAAAGCTGCTAAGGTGGTGTAAAGCAAGTGACAAGGGGAGCCAGAAGGGTTCAGGAGTAAGAAGGCCATGACAGTGATCCAGCAGTAGGGAAAAAGGATGAACAAGGGAAAAAGGATGAACACAATTCAAGGGGAGGAGCTGGGAAGCAGGTCCCCAGGGAGCTCAGAGCACACAAAACAGACAGGTAAGAACCTAAGTACAGAAACAAGGCAAGCTCCTTCAGCTATCACAGCCATTTTGCTATTCACAGTAGAAAAAACCCCAATACTTCCATATGAACAAACCTAGAGAGCAACAGTTGTGCCATGGGTGTTTGGAGCACTGGGTGGATCCTAGGGGACATCCTGTGACAGTGCCTTGCCTTTCAAGAAAGGCTGCTGGACCAAGACCAGAGGCAAAGGCACTTTCATTTGCTCAGAGAAACCCCGGTAGGGCAAACAAAACCTGCTGGAAACCTAGCAAAACCTGTTTGCTGCAGAGAACTGAAGCTCAGTAGAGTCCACCTGCTGCACTGAAACAGACTTCAGGAGAAAGAGGAGACTGATCAAAGGGGAGACCTTATAATAGGTTTCTCAAAGTCACAGGCAGAGAAGCAAGTTGAGGATGGAAGTTCTGTGGACTAAAAACAGAGCTTCAGGCAGTCTTGGGCTTGTACTGCTGCCCATCTCAAAGCAGCATTCAAAAGGGCATATCCTCTAAATGGGCACTACCAAAGGGGAAAAACCAAGCCTAAACAAACAAAAAGCAACACTCAGAAGCCAGCTCCTTAAGGGTGGGAGGGAGGGGAAAGAAGGAACACAAACCCCAGAAGAATTCAGAAACAAAAAGTGTTTTGTAGCAGGCAGGGCTATTTTAACCTTGGCAATGAAATAAAGCTTCTTTTTTATAGTTGGAAAAAAAAGAGAATGAGCTTGTTTTCACCCTCAACTTCCTCTCCACTCATCATGCCAGATGCTGCCCAGTTGGATCCAACCAGTTATCACCTCCCTCTACACCATTCCTCCTTATTGCCACAGCCCTCTGCTATCATCCACTCAAGATAACACCAGGATATCTGTGAGCCTGAGCACAATAGGAACATGAGATCCAAAGGCCATTTCAAGAGAGCACAGAGACAGCAATCCAGCCCTGCCTTGCCCTTGCTGCACACCAGAGAGCAGTCCTTTCTGCTCTGTTGTTCTCCCCAGTACAGCAGATGTGCACATCCTTCCTGCTACAACCTTATTATAGACTGGTTCCAAGAGGTTACTGAAGTCATTAAAAGTCTTCTCCCTGATTAATTCAGTAAATCTGGGAATTAAACCCCAGAAACATTTGAATTTCAGAAGTACATCAGCCAGAATGATCTCCAGCTATCTCTCTCTACTCCTTGCAACTTAAGAGAGCATAAGGAAAGACAGCAGATAGAGACCATTCCTTTGAACTAGCAGAGGCAAACATCTTCACCCACACAGCAGCAGCTAAGGGACTTGCCCTGCAGATTAAACCAACAGAGGTATCCAGCAGCATCAGAAAGGTAGAGACCAAAACAAACCCCTGCTGTGTACCCACTCTGTTCCAGCCCAGTCAGGCTCCAGCTGTTCCCATAGAGCCCCTTCCAACTCACCCCAAGTGCTGCTGGCAGAAGCAGCCGCAGGATGCTGCCAGAACAGCCCAGGAGGTTGTTACACAGAGCAGAGCCATATCCCACCTACCTGGTTAATGAGTTCTGCAGACACACTATTGCTCTGCAGCATCGTCTATCAACACCTTCTTGTACTGGCCATGGCCCGTTGCAACAAACTTGTACTTTTTGCCAGAAGGAATGGACTGAACAGGAGAGGAAAGGAAGAGCCAAAATCAGCATTTTTCTCTGTTAAATAGGCAGTCAAAAATCAAGTAAGTGAAGCCAGAGGTGCACATGGTACAGTTGCCTTTAATGCCAGAGGGCTCAGAGACAGCCCATTCTGTACTGCCTTCCTGCCCCCTTCACACAAACTCTCTGCACAGACCCATCACCACCTTCTGTAAGCATGAGGCAACACAACAAGAACAGGATATGCAACAGGGAAGCAAATGCAATGCAGGCATTGTGAGGGAGGGCTCGTCTAAGACCCCAGACCCCAAGCCAGGGTTGTTTTACCCATGACAAGAGACTCTGAGATTTGCCAGGTACTGGCAGTTTCAGCACAGGAACTGACAAGATACTTTGATCTTCCTCTCCCAGCCTAGGCAGTTTGAGCAGTAGCTGCTTGCTGCATTTTAGAAGACATTTCCACAAACATTCCCACAAAACCCCAGATCCATCTGCAAGTGACACTGTATTAGGTTCAGTTCCACTTAGTTTTGCACATTTTGTTTACTCTCCGTGCCAAAAAGCATAACAAGAGCAAAATTACTCAAATTTGCAGCTCCATTTGAGCCTAGAAGGCTGTGACTACCATCTCATGGGCTGAGAACAACATGCTATTCAAGAGACCTTTCAGAATTACTGGATATAAAAGTATTTCTGCCCCCATTTTCACTAGAGCTGAACCAAGAGCAATTCACTGCTAGGAAGAGCTCTTAAGCATGCAATTGCATGGACAGATACAGGTAGCCCTTGTCCCTGCAGAACATCATCTTCTCAGTACTGCCAGCCCAGCCACCAGCTCTGCAAGTGCTGTCACACTCACAGACACCAACTCACCTTGACACTGCTCTCAGGTTTGGGATTCCCCTTCTGTTCCCAAAGGCTTCTTTTACTCACGATGTCTCCAGCCACGATATCCTGAGAAAATGATGCTTTCATTACCCTTCACTGCTAATGCTGTGAACGTGTCTTCGTTCACATCCATTTCCAACCCACACATCTGACCTCTTTTTTTATTTATAATATCACATCTGACCTAAAACAGCTGCTGCTAAAACCCATGACTGTGAAAATGTTTTCCTGTTCCCAGCGTACCCTATGTTTTCCTATCACTCTTCCACAAGAGTCTGAATTAGCTCCAAGATGTTTATTTTCTTAAGTTTGTTAACTATTTAGGACATGTAAACACCAAGGCTTCTCTACCAAAAGGAATTCTGCTCTAATAAACAGACTTGCAACCAACATATTAGAGAACCAGCCTCACCCACAACAGCCAGAAAGTGAAATCACTGAGAGCACTACTTAATGCTCTCTGCATTTTCCAAGTTTACAAGATTTATCACCTTGGTACCAGATGCAAGGTCATGCTTGACAACTCAGCCCTAGCCCCTGTAAGGAGACACATGCATTCTCCCCACTAGCTGATTTTATTCCCATTTCAAATCAGAGCTTCAACCAGCAGCACAGAGGTTTTCCTGCATGGACCACCAAGGAACAACTGGGGACCCTGTCAGAAAAACTGCATCTCCGAGGTGCAAAGCCTTACAACACAATGGAAGATCTCCAATATCGATGCCTTTGGAGTCTGGAAGCCCCACAACAAGAGGCACCAACAGGATACACAAGGACAATGCACACTGTGCCCAGGGACCAGTCCCTGCCCCTGGCACAAGCAAGGCAAGTCCCCCAAGGGCTGTACCTTACAGGCTGAGGGCTTCACAGCAGACTGGGCTGTGACCTCCCCAGTCTCCCAGAGGCTTTTTGTGCTGGCTACCATCATGCTCGTGGTGGGAAGGTCAAGAGAGGGCTGCCGCACAGGTTTTGGAGCCTTTGAGGAGGTCTGGAAAATAAATGGAGACAGTTTGCCATCAGAGTGTGCCTCTTGATTATTTTTATCCTTGGAGATAAGGGGGTGTAAAAGGAGACTTGTAGAGTCCTACTAGTTCCTGTCAGATACTCCCACTCTTCAGGCAGAGAATACAAAAAAACAAGCACAGGACAGCTTGCCAAAGAAACCTACTTTATGCTGTGGAGGGACACACAGACAGGCAAGGAGTGCTCCCACCCAAGGGAGGACAATTTAGCAATCATCTCACACATGGTAAGGTGAGAGGCATGGTGGGGGAGCAGCACCAGCAAAGAGGGCTCCTGGGAGGGTGGGGGCACAGACAGCTCAGCAACCCACCTCAATAGCCTGTGTGTACTGCTCCAGCCTGTCATCGATCTTGGACACCGGGAGAGGAGGCTGACTCTTCTTTATGCTGTTGCTGCAGAACAGAGAGGAGGATTAAGGCGTTCCCCCAGTACCCCAGGCAGAAGGGAGGACTTGGTGAGGCACAGGCAGCCCGTGACTGCTGCCATTCCCCAGAGCAGGGCCTGCTGACCATCTCCCTCGGCAGCAAGGGCCCTGCCTTGCCCTGAGGCCAGCCCAGAATTACCTTTTCTGTATCGAGCGGTTCAGTGACTCAGTTCTGTCCGTGAGCTAAAGGGGACAAAGAAGACAAAGATATGACTTCTGTCCAGGGACCTCAGATGGATGCAGGTCACCTTAGCTGACCATTTCCTGATGATCTCTCACCCATATTTTGGTTAGAAATGACTCGCTCAGCCCCCATGCTCCCCTACAGATCAGAGACAGTGAGCATTTCTTCTTTCTTCCTTCTTTCCAAGCAGGGGAAGAAAACCCCAACCAATTTCAGGGGCAAACCAACCATGTGTAAAATGAATGACAGCTGGAACACCAACCAAAACCATTTCTTCTACTCCCTCTGGTGAAGGAGAAGGTCTCTCTCAGACCTTTGGTTTCCTAGCCAGACACAAAAAGGGAAATGGCAAGTACAGAAAGACAAGGGGGAAAACTAGAGACCACATGTGCAGAAGAGAAGCCAAGCATGAGAGCAGCACAGGCATGGGTTAGGTCAACTTGTCCACACCAGAGAAGCACACAGACAGGGCAGATCAGCACATGGAGCCTCCTTTGAGTCAGCTCTTCATGACAAGCCATCAGGAAAACCTCTTGCACCAGAGGCTCCTGTGCAATAACTCCTTGGCCAAGACAGGAAGGCAAGCAAACACTTCACAACCACTGCAGGAAAGGAAAGCTGAAATGTTGCTAAACCTTGTGCCTCTTTCATGCCCCAGAAAACAAGCATACAGAGAGAAAAATCACCTTGAAGCCAAAGGGGGACTTTCTTAACACCAGCTCCCACAGAGTGAAGGAGCAGCAACCAAGTAAAAAGGAGCCTTCTCCCCCTGTAAAACTGCTGCCTGTGCCACAGGAAACATCACCTACCAAGTCAGCAGATAAAAAACAACACTAAGTGATCCTTTAAGATGCTTTCAGGATGCATCTTAAGGTGCTAAATTTCAGCTAAACAGAAGACAAGAGAGTGTCACACAGAGGACACATTTACCAGCTGTGCCCAGGAGCACGAGGCCATTAGAGAACAACCAAACAGCGCAGCCCTGGCTGATCGAGATGACCTGGGGGGAGCCACTCTGCAGGGTCCCCCACAGCAGCACGACAGAAGGCAGCTCTGTCTGCAGGGCAGGCTGTCTGTCTGCCTGCTGCCAGCTCTCTCCTCTGCTCGCTGCTGCAGGAGCTGCTGCTCGCCTCTCAGCCACGACTCAGAGACTTCACCTTGCTCACTGATGGGCAGGCTGTACCTGACAGGGCACAGTACCAGCCTGACAGGGGAATCTGGCAGATCTTGCCCACAGCTTCCCAAACACAAGTACATGTCAATGGGAAAAAGCCCTGCCCACCCTGCCAGGGAGATGGGGTGCAGGTGCTAACCATACAGAGGCACTTCTGAAAGGCTATGAACAAGCACCAGGTTAAACACAGAGGGGCCTAGAAAGAGCTCTAAGTGGCAATGTATCTCAGTATGACAGTCTAGGGAGGAACAAGCTTTCACTGTGCTATTTGGAGACCACCTGGCCCCACCCCTGGCCTTTCCTGGCAGTGAGAATTGGGCATTTCCCTGGTCCCAAGCACTTTCTGAAGGCCAGAAGAAACCACAGCTGCTCATCCAGCCAGCCTCAAAGCTCAGGGCTCACTAGCAGCCTGTGACAGAACAGGACTGGCACAAGACTTCCCCCTTGCCTCCATTCCCCCTATTTCAGCCCTCAGGTCCTTAGAACCCCAAACACCCCACCAGCCTACACCCCACTATCAGCCTGCCCCAGGTGTGCCCCCAGCTCCAGCAGCCACAGCTGGCAGGGGCACACAGCACTGACTGCAGGTGCCTTTGCCTTTCTGCTACAAGCAGGGCTTCTGCTGAGCTTCCTGTGCCAAAACACCTTCCTGGTGGCCAGTGTGCTTAGCACTCAGTGTTCACAGAGCCCTGCTAGCTGGGGTGTAAAGATCAGCCTTCCTTTGGAAAGATGCCAAGCACATTTTTCCTGAAAGTTTTACATCCAGCTTAGTGTGGGGGTGAGCTCTGACATTAGCACTACAAAACAGAGACTGCATTTCTAAACCTTCCCCTGGGCTAATCCCAGCAGCTAAGTTGAGGTCAAGAAGCTGTGTGTGTTTTGGGGCTGTAAAGACAGAAGGTTCAGCACATAAAAGCTGCTGAAAGCATTTTTCACATTTCCCCACCAGCCCCACTTCAGGAATATGCTTTGGCTACCCCCACCACTTTTCAAACCTGGCATTAGCACCCAGCCTGCATCCACACCTACTCTGTCTCCCCTCTTTTAATTTGACTATAAAATGGATTCTCCACCAAGAGCAAGAACCTGATGGCTGTAGATGATGAAACCTTCCTCTTGCCATCTATTTACTGATGCAAAAGAAAGTACTCACACAATCATTCCCACTCAGGAAATGTTGAGTAAATACCACAAAAACTAAATTTAAAAAAAAGCAAAGCTAGCTCTAATAGCAGATTAACAGGTTGCACAGACTCCTCACCATCTCCCTCACTGCTACAATCAAAAAAGGCTGGAGCTTACAAAGGCAGAAAAAAACATTCAGTACATAAACACTTATCTGTATCTATTGTATTCAAAAGCACACACAGAACTGAGGATTTGCAGTAAAGGCAACACAAGTCATAAGATGCAATTCAGGTGGTGGTAATAATGGGAGTGTCACAAAGAGCACCAATGCAAACAGATGTGATTGGGAAGGACACAATGTTTCAGAGATCAGAAATCCCCACCTGTTTAAACAACTTGAGTCACAAATTTTGTTCTAATTAAGAGAGAAATGCCACTGTTTCAGTTATTGAGGCTTTTTCCCTTTGGAAGGGAAATTTCACTAAGATTAAGTTCTTGTGAGTTTTGTTAGAGACTACACACGTTGAAAGCACAGCTATCTCAGTATCACAATATTCCCTGGAGCCCTCAATGAGCTTTACACTTTTAGAGTGATGCTACAGCCTCCAACAGCTCAAGCAGGCAAAGCAGGAGCAGAGGAGGCTGACAGCCATGAAAGGCAAGGCAAATTGCTCAGGTGGTTTGTCTCAGCTAGGTAGCAGGATGGATAACAGGATTCACGCCCCACACTGCTGTAAACCCTGGATAATCCTTCCTCATCATTGGTTGGGTCCTTGTGACAGTTGTCACGCATCCAGAGGGGCCCCAGGAGCACAAACCTTTGTGGAGCACACTACAGTGTGGTCAGAGCACAGCTCCTCCTCCTCCAGGCTGGCGAGGCTTGGGGCCTTCTGGCGTTTCTCTGGTGTTTCCTCCTTCTCTCCATCATTTCGCCTTCTCTTCTTTTCCTGAGCGCAGAAAAAGAACAAGCCAGGACGTGAGCTGGTCAAACTGCTTTTTATGCAACAAAAGTGATTTTTCCCCATCTCCCAGGCTTCCTGCTCTACACTAAATAAACACAAAAGCACAGAAACTGAGTTAGCATTATCTAATTTGGAAGCATTCAGGAAGAAGCTCATATGTCATTTGGAAGGGAGGGCAGAAATCAGGAATTTTGAAGGTCTGAGATTCCCAAATGGTATGAAAAGGGGTCCTGGCATCAGTTATAAAGATCTCTTACTGCAACTGAGATAGGAAAACACTAATTCCTCATTTAGAGGCCAAAAGGAGGGAGAGAAGCTGCCTTTAGAATAAAGGGTTTTAAAGGGTAACACAGTTCAAATGCAAACATCTTACTAACCTTGGCAGTCAAAGTCCATTTATGACAAATGATATTTGAAGTTCAGGCCCCTGACTTGCACACCACTTGAATTCCAGCCTTGTCGCTCCCTCTCCCTCCCCTTAACCAGGAATTATCAGAACAAAAACACCTCAGCTGGGAGCAATGCAAGGCTAAGAGGTCTATCAAGACAAAGAATTCCAAAGGTGTGATAAAGGCTGGGGAGAGAAAAACAAGCAGTATAATTTAGATTTGAGCTCTCCTGTGAAGCTACTCACTGCCCACAAAGCCACAGGAGAAATAACACTTTCCTCCTCAGCATGACAGGGACATGGCAAAGCCACCACAAACTCTGAGAGCAAGCACACTCCCCTCACAAAAGGGCAGAGGCTGCCTGCAGTGACCACAAGAAGGCACAGCACACAGGCAAAAGTGGCACCAGCCCCAGGTTATGCCATGAAAACACATCTAATGTCTGCATGGGCTCAGCTTCCAGCAGCAATGCTGAGCCAGGACATGGGAGAGCAGCCCCCAGCATCAGCTCTCCAGAAAGAAAGTCAGTTCCTCCTGACCCCACCTCTTGCTCAACTTGTTCCTCTTTCTCCTGCTCTTGAACCTCTTCTTCCTCCTGGCACAGCCTCTCTTCCTCTCTGATAACCATATTCTCCTCTGGGCTTTCCTGATCCAGCTGGATCTGCTCCAGTTTGACTTGAGCTTCTCTCACACCACTCTCCTCTTCTTGGTAGGACTGCCTTGGAGACCTGCAGATGGGGAGAGATCAAGGAATAAAAGCACAGTTATGAGCCTGCAGACACCATGAGGTACCTCACACCTCTAGAAATCCAATGTTATCACTCCCCCAAGCCTACAGCACGCTGGGTATTCCACACCAGGGCTCACAGCCAGTTCCAGGCACCCAGATACAACAGCAGTCACATCTCACTCCCCCCATTTTAAGCGTCCAAGACTCAGCTCAGCTAAGAGCTGTGGCAGAGCTGAAGGCATCTGCATGTTACCAGCAACATGAAGGGCCACAAGAAAGCAGAGAAGAGCTCTCTGCTCAAACCCTGCCAGAGAGGAAGCTGCTACCATGATGTGGTGCTGGCCCAATTCCCTGCCTGGCTACAGCTAAAATTCCAGGCGCACCAGCACATGCTGCAGCCAAACACAAATCTGATGCTGCCCCCATGGTTCCCAGCACAAATTACAAGTGGGGCACACACTGTCACCACCATATTTTCTGGAAAAATCTCCTTCCCCAGGATTTCTCTCCTGGGAAGATGAGAAGCCTCAGAGAAAAAGAAAACAATTATTTGATTTGCTTCCCCTGTGCTTTGCTGCTTTGGAATGTGTTTGGACACTGTTTACCAACGGGTGATTGTTTCATTGGTTTCATGCGAATTGTTTTGACTCAATGGCCAATCACTGCCAAGCTGTGTCAGGGCTCTGGAAAGAGTCATGACTTTTCATTATTTTCTTTTTAGCTTTCTGTAAGTATCCTTTCTCTATTCTTTAGTATAGTTTTAGCATAATATAGTATCTTTATATAGTATATAATATAGTATCTTTAATAATAGCTCTTTAATATAATATAGTATCATGAAATAATAAATTCGCCTTCTGAGAGCATGGAGTCAGATGCATCATTCCTCTCCTCATCTGGGGAACCCCACAAATACAACAGGGCACTAAACACAGCCCTTCTCTGTCTGAACTCATCTTCCACGTCAGCAGAGTCTCTTGCTGCAGGAGAGCCCAACCAACACCACAAGAGCATGCTTCTCAAGCTGGAGCTGAACTCCAGGGCAAGGCTGCAGAGCCACTCCCCTGGAATCACTCCATGGGCAAGGCACAGTGCTTCACCAGCAATGCTGTGCTGACACTTGGTTCCAGGCCTCAGTTTTGCCCGCTGGAAAAAATGACACCCCTACTCACATCACTCATCTCATATCCCAGCAAAACAAAGGAGTTCCAAAGCAGATGGGGTCACCCCCTGGTTTAGGGGCTTAAAAGCCACAATGGGTTTGGTACAAGAGAATTGCTGCAAGTCTCCAAGGCTGCAGGAGGAGACCCAGAAGCATGCTTATGCAATCAGCTTTGCAAGAGCAGAGCAGCCCATGCCTTTGGGCACAGGGACACTAGGACAGAGCCCCAGAACTCTCACTGGCTCACAGCCACACACCAAGCTGTTATTGCCATCTTCCTTTCCCCAGCCAAGAAAGCTTTCTCCTCCCACCCATTTCTTAGAAAATTGCCTGGCTAGAGAGAGCAGGGCTAGAGAGCTGGCTAGCAGGCAGCTGCCAAAGGGCAAGGCTGACTCACTGCCCCTCCCTCAACAGGCAGCACCAAAACACAAACACAAGTTCCAACAAGACCTTTCCACCCACCCCTCTGCTGCTGGGAAGGCAGCTCACAGGTCAGCCACCATCCAGCCCTCCACACTGACTACATGGGGAAAAAGACAATGCATATGCTGGCTCACTTGACTTGTTTCTCACCATTCTCTCACCAAGAGCAGCCAGGCTCTGAGGGCCCAGGAAGCTTGCAGCTGTCCACCAGGATGGCAGCAATGCCTCCAGCTCAAGTGCAAGCTCATATTAAAAATTAAGGCCGGCAAACACAGTGCAGCCTATAGGATGCCTTTCACACCACAGCAATGCTGCATGGGAGGCAGCTAGGCTGGCACAGCTTCACCTCCTTGTACACAGCTGATAGCATGGATCTCCTACCTCAAAGAGGAGAGCCAGGACCAAAAAGAAGATGTACCTTAGCACCAAGGCCCTCAGGGCATGCAGGACCTGGTTTGGTGCCATCCAACAGAGAGCAGCTGTCTCCATCCACTCTTCCACAGCCACCACTTAAAACCCAGGATTTGCTTCATCTCCAGTTAAACAGGAGAGAAGGGAAAGCCTGAGCAGAGCACTGCTTGTCCCAGCACAGGCAAACACAACCTACCTGTGCTCACACCACACTCCAGGCTGCCCCTTGGATAAAGGAGAAAGCTGCTGCAAGGACCTCACAGAGCACAGCCCCTGCTGTGAGGGCAAGCCCAGCCTTTGCAAAAAGCCCTCAGAGCCGGAGCTCCTTCAGCTGCCTCTCCCAACCAGCCTGCACCTACAGCTCCTGCTTTTAAAGCACCACCTCTCCCTGATGGGCTTCACCTGCCATGAACACCACCTCCCCTGCTCAGCTACAGGACAAACACATCAAACCACAACAAGAAACACCTGGGGAGGATAATGCTAATTCCAACTAATTCCCTTTTGAAGGCCAAGGAGGGAAAAGCAGTAGCCTTTCTTTCCAGAAAAGCTCCTTGCAAGGGGAGCTGGAAAAAGAGGCAGCAAACCAAAAAGCAGATGATTTCTAATTGCTCCCACAGATGTTATAACTACGTTGTGCTGGGCCTTGGAGGTGCTTGAGAAGTGCTGGTGGGGTCAGGCTGCAAAGGTACAGTTTGCAATGTGGTTTAGCCACAGCGTTTGGAGAAAAGTAACAAAACTCTGAGCACATTTTTATTTATTCAGCAATAAATATTAATCTTAAGCATTTTTTCAGTCACAGAATAGTTTGGGTTGGAAAGGACCTTTAAAGGTCATCCAGTCCAATCCCTCTGAAATAAGCAGGAACCTTTTCAATCAGATCAAGTTTCTCAGAGCCCAATCCAACCTGACTTGAGCGTTTCCAGGGAAGGGGCATCCACCACCTCTCTGTGCGAAGAATTCCTCAGGGTAAAAAAGAAGCTGTGTCAAAAATTCCCTGCAAAATCAAGCTGCCAAGAGAGCTGAGTCACAGAGTTCATGTGCAGGCAGGCAGGGTCCAAGGGAAGTGGTTAAGGCAGGAGTTTGGTCTAGTTCTGTAAGGGAGGAGTGATGGGAGGGCTCCCAGGGCTCTTTGCTGCCTGTTTTTCCCTGCTCAGAGAGGAGTCAGGCACAAGGTGGGCTGGGGCCATAACACCCACTATGCTGACATGAGCCAGGAAGCAGCAGTAACTTAGAGCAGCTTTCTAGGCTGGCCTGGATTATGTTAGAGACCATTTCAGCCCCTGCAGCAGCTCAGGTGGCTTAAATCTGCTGTTGTCACTCCTCCAAACCCAGGAGTCCTGGCAGGCTGCCACTGCTTGGAGCACAAAGCTCAATCCAAACATGCCCAAAGCCTGGGGCCGTCCCTGGGCCATTCCCCCCTGGCAGCCCAAAGGCAGGCAGAGAGCATCTGTCCCAGAGCTGTGGGGCCTGCTCTGTCCTGCTGGTGCTCCACGCTCTGGCCTCATTCTTACACGTGCTGGACCTGACCTGGGGCTGGTCACCCCTCCTCAGGGACAGTCCTTTAGCTGGGGACACCCTCCCCTTGGTGCATCTGTGTGCCACCCACCTCTGCTTGCGCTGCTCCAGCTTCTGGGACCAGTCACTGAACCCCTCGTCCTCCTCCAGCTCCGAAGTCCCAGACGGCTTAAAGTCATAGCTGAAACACAGCAAGAAGGAAAATTAGCACGAGAGGCATACAAAAAGGCCTGAACCTGGCCTGGAAGAGCCACAGCCCGACACAGTCCTTCTCCTTTCAGTTATTCCATTCATTCCTCTCTGGGTGAGCTGCACGGTTGAAGATAGCCATGGCAAAATCATCCCAGCATCTGTGGCCCTGGCCATAAAGGTGTGCTCAGGCTGACAGAAAAGCTCCTAGGGAGCAAGGGAGACTGGCTGAATGCTGTCAGAAAACTGGCTGCTTCCCTGTGTCCCTCTGCAAACCCAGCCCCAGGAGAAGCACAAAGCCAGCACAGCCCCATCATCACCACTTCAGCTGATGTCCATCCCTCTGGCTCCCAAAACCATTATTTTTCCTGCAAACCCTCTGTTCTCCTATCTCTGGCTTTCTTTAGTGGGGGTAAGGGAGAGCAGGAGGTTCACTCTGTCCCTTTGGAGCAAGGAAATGCAAGGGTGGGTTTGAGCTTAGGGGAGTGACATGGACAGGACAAGTCCCAGCGTGGGAAGAGCTACAGGAAGGAGGGGGCAGGATTTACACAAGAGAGAATGAAGCTTTTCAGGAGATTAATAGCCAGGGCTGACCCTGGCTGCATGAGCAAGCCCAGGTGGCTGTCAGCAGCTGTAAACAAAACCAGGGAATGGCCAGAGGAGAAGAAACATCCTTGTGGTTGAGCCTGGCCCAGCAAGCTTTGGCATCATGGAGCAGGGAGCAAAACCCTTCATTTGAAGAGTTCTTGTCATTGTTCCCTTAAGCACTCAATTGAAATTGGGCAATGGCAATGGTGCTGTGCCCATGCCAACAGGACTGGAGCCTGCAGGCTGGGTTACTGCACACTGCTCTGGGCCTGAGGCTGCTCACAGCACCAACCAGCAAACAGAGACCAGAGATCTCATCTGCTGCTTTAAAGACCTTTTCAAATGATTTCCTAGCCCTCATGTGAAGGGGGGGTTTGGAAAAGCTAATGACTATTATTACTTTCCAGACCTTCTGTTTGCTTTTAGAGCAGACTGCAGCAGCTTTGTCTGCAGAACCGTGTGTATTTCCACAAAAGATTGTGAAGGTGTTTTGCAATGCTTTTATATTATTAAAAAAAAAAAAGTCCTGAATAATTTTGGAAGTATCTTGGGAAGAAAAAGATCTTTTAATGGAAAAAAAAATAAGTTTTCATAAATAACTTTTGCTTTTTTTTCCCAGTAAAATGAAGATGCTGCTTCTCGGTGACTATAACTCCAAATCCTGCCACCACTTTTCCACTGTGTTCAATAGATTTAGAAATAAGTTGAACACATAAATAGTGGTAAGACTGAGGACTTGAGACAAGAATTTGGCAATGCAGAGTGCAGACTAGTTTTTGTGCTAGCCCCAGTGCTGCACAGCATCTGGACTGCTGAACCATGGACGTGGGGAGGCTGCAGCAGGATGTGCCATGGGATGCTGGGGATGTCATCCTATCCCTTCCCCAGGTGTTTCCTCTTTGACAGCAGAGAGCTCAGCATCTCCATAAATGCCTCCTGAGCTATTTCCACCTAGGACTTGCCCCATTAAAGCACAAAGTTAATTTTAATTCTTGGAGCTGTGAACGGCACCAGCTCAGGTGTTGCTTCATGCTTCCCAGTGCCAGGGCAGCATCCTCTGAGGGAGGAATGGGAAGCTTAGCCAGGATAGGTGATTGCTTGCACTGTGATCTGCCTGGGATTGTGCATCACCTGCTCAGCCACATCTGTCTTTGCATGTATCAGGAAACTCCATTACTTTTGGTGTAGGATGACTCCCAAGTTGAAATTTAACCAAGCACTGAAATCACGGGCAGTGTGGACTCCCTACCAGAGCCCAGCCTGCCCCAAGCTGTCTCAGTGTAAACTCTCAGGGCAGTAAAACCCCCAGCCTCCAGCCAAGAAAACAATCAAAGCAGGACTTGTGGGGTTTTCTGCCCTAAGAAGAAAGCACACTATTTGCTAGTGTGCACTAAATCCAGCCCAAACCTGTGAGAGCACTGCCCCATCTTCCCCAAACACCAGGGACACACACTTGGTGCTGCAGGAGGGGTTTGCTGCAGGGAAAAGGTGTGTTGCTGAGGGGATTTATCCAGGGGTATTTCTTACTGGTTTTGCTGTGCCAGAGCAGCACTTTCCGAGCAGGGCCCGGTGCCGTTCAGGCCCTCCTCTGCCTGGGACCGCAGCTGCTTCTCCCGCTCCCGCCGCCGCCGCTCCCTCGCCGCCTCCTCCTCATCTTCCACGCTCCACTGTGCTGTCAGCCTGCCAAGCCAGAGGGAAAACCCATCGTTAATGCCACCAGGCAGTCCTGTGAAACCTGGTAACAACCCTCTGAGGTGCCTGGGGTCCCCCCAGCAATCAGGAGCCTTCTGCAGAGGAGCGCTCCCACCACGAGCAGCGATCCTTCAAGTGGCATCCTCACCTCCATCAGCACAGCTCCACAGTGGCACTGACTGATGGGCAAGGACAACGTGGGACACGGGCACTGGGAGAGACACAGGAGAGCCTGCAAGTCTCTAGAAGGAAGATGTAGTACATATCCTCTTCCCACCTGCTGAAGCCCGCTGGAAAGCACCATTTCCTGCAAAAACAGCTTTGCATCCCTACTTTGGAAGGGTTTGTAAATGGTCCTGCAATGCTGAAAGGTGTCTGAAGGGTTTGTAAAGGGTCCTGTAGTGCTGCAAGATAGCCAACACCTTCATCTCAAGCTTCGGCCCACAGAAGGCAAGATCTGTACCCTGGGGATTAGTTTCCTTAGGCAGTTGAGCTGCTCCTGCCTGACCAGGAGCCACAGAAACAGCGGCGGATGGCAGCACCTATGTCCTGCCCTGCTCTGCCCTGCCTGGCTTCCCGCCAGCCCTGTGGAGAAGAAAAACCTGCCCTGGCTTCTCCCAGACATCTCAACTGCTGCACAATAATGCCTCTGTCAACAGAGCAGCCTCCTGCATCCCCAAGGAAGTGATAAGGCGGATGCCACATTCCTTCTCTGGTGATAACGCCAGCCCAGGCACTCCCCACGTGGGATCGGCTCCTGCTCCACTGGCAGCACCAGCTGAGATTCAGGCAGAAAGGGACAGGCCATGAGGTGGCACCACTCACCCAAAGGGCCTGTGATGGCAGCTGGAGCTGGGCAGGCCTGACTGTGGCACACAGATGCTGGGGCAGATGCCTCCTCACCCCACTCACGCCTGGCTCAGCCAGATCCAAAGCAGACACAACAGCTGTTTCCCCCAGCATTTTCAAGCCTGTTTACAGAAATGTCTTTCAGGAAGGCACACACATGGGAGCTGGGAAGTCGATCTCCCACCAGCAGCAGGACCCAGACCAACCTGCACTTCCTCACCCCAGGAATATCCTGAGGACCAAAGTCCTCTGAGGATGAACCTGCTCAATGGGAGATACAGTGCAACATTACTCACACTGGAACAAAGAACCCGTGGAAGGGAAAATGAGGAAAAAATCCAAACAGAAATGCCTTAGTTGAGACGTGTTTCAGCCTAGTTTGGGTGAATGAGGGACAGGTTTCAGCTGGCCCCAGGAGTGCCACTCTGCAGCCTGCCCAGCTTTGCCCTCAGTCTGGACTCTGAAGCACGTGAGAGGGCCTCACTTCACCATGGCTCTCACCAAAAAGCTGTTTTCTTTTAAACTTCAGGGCAGATACCTCCCTATCCCAGCAATGGAGGGGGTGGAAAAAGCCCATTGGGATTAATTGATGAAAAACATAGCCTTTCTAATTACACTGTGAACCTTGTTAGCCTTTCCAGGGAAGATTCACTCAGAGCCTATTTTACTCTGCAGTGCAAGCAGGACTGTTGAGCTTAGCCCCAGTAGCATCCCTTTGCACAGCGGTCCCACCACCAGCCTGTCAGGAAGCTGGGGATGACTCCAAATCACTGCCCTCCCAAACTCCCACCTGCCCCAAGGCAGCAAAGCCAGGCCGTGAGCCCAGTGAAGAAAGGCTGCCCATGCCTGCTGTGCCCACAGAGGAGCAGGGAACACAGCAGACCCCAGGACCAGCCCAAGAGAATGCTCCACTGCAATGTAGTTACTGCCTGCCTTATTTTGGGTGGGGTCTTTCTGCAAGCACCAAATCCAGCTCTTTCCCTTTTTACCCCATCATCGCCCCTTGCCACCTTGGTCTCCATGAGGAACAAAGCAGACCCAGACCCGAGCCTGAGCTCCCCTCCTCCCTTCCTTACTCATCCCACACTCCTATTTATTATTTTTCCTCAGGTTCCCATAGAAACCCTTGTCTGTGGACCTGGCAGGAAGCCACCATGTTGTTGTTGGTTTTTTTTTTTTTAATATATAAATGAAGTCATTCATTAAACTCTGCCATGATCCCCCTCCCTTGTGCGACAGCTCCAGATAGTCTCCAATTTGGAAAAGCTCTTAACCCCCTCTGGCCCATACCACCCCAGTTACGAGAAGCAAAGTCCACGTTCATGCCAGAAAAAGTTAGATTTTGATTAAAATCTTTCACTCCTTCCTCCAGTTCCTTGGGAAGCCGCTTCAGAGGCGGTGCTCCACCAACACCCCCAGCTTGGCCAGGGTGCTCTGGAGGAGGGGGGATCCCTTCTGAACCGCATGAGCTTTCCACAGTGTGAGAGCAACACTGGTTGGCAGCCCTCTCCCTTTCCCAGTTGGATGTGACTAACTCTCTCCCCATGACCTCACCGGCTCGCTATTCTGTCCCTGCATCCTTCCCTCCGAGCACGCTGAGGACAGAGCCGGGGGCGACCGTTCTGGGGAGAAGGATTTTTCTGCAAAAGCAGAGAAATAACTTTCCCAGCTCCCCTTGCCACAGAGCAACCCAGCTTTGCCACAGAGCAATCCCAGCTTCCAGGCCGCCTGCTGCTGTGCTGGGATGTGCCTCAGACACTCTGAGCATCCTGGGGGGGGGCTGTGATGCTGGGAACACCATGCCTCTGCTCAGCAAAAAGGGCTGCGGATAAAGCCCCCACGGATTCAAAGATACCAGCACACTCCAGCAAACACCTAAACTGAATTTATTTTCAGATTCTGAGCTCTCTGTCATGCTCAAACAGGCTGGTAGGGGAGGGAGGTTTAATAAGTGATGCGTTGGGGTTCAGTTATCATACTGACAAGCAGAGGAAAAAGGATGATTACTTTTGGACTGACCGAGCAGCACAAATATTTGTCTTTAGTGAAAAACAAACAAAACAAAATGAAGCAAAAAAACACAAGCGAATGAGAAATTAAGCCTTGCCAAAGTCCTTGTGTTTGGGTCAGCTACAGGGGTTTGTTGGACCCCAGACAAAATGTGCAATTTCAATTTGGACAGGCACAAGTGTGAGCAGGGGGTCAGCTGTTAAATTGCCTTTCGAAGCAAAAAGGTGGAAAGATTTAATTTCCAAATGGTTCCATTTACTAAAACGGGGCCACGGTCTCCCATTTGCTCTAATTGTTCACAACTACATTCAGTAACTCAGCGTGCTCAGCCCACAGTGGTATTTCACAACCGTCTTTCCCAATCCTAGAAATAATTACCCAGTGCTTCAGGATCAGGCTGATCCCACGGATCTTCACCTCCAGCCAGCACTGCCCCAGGTTGGTCCCAGGCTGGGGAGGTTTGGGGAAGAAGCAGACTCATAGCTGCCAGTGGGACCAAGAGTTCTCAACTTCATTTCACCCATCACAGGGTGGGGAAATGGAAAGCAAGACTTGAAGCTTGAGGAGCTGCAAGATGAGCTACAGCATGCTACAGTCCTGAATCCAGCCATCTGCCTTTATAAAATCCCTCCATAGAGGGATTTTCATGCAATGTGAAGGAAATTCATCCCCTTAAACAGACTTTAGTGTGACTGGAGAAGGGAGGAGAAAAGGCAGAGAGACCTCAGTGGCCCCAGCAGCCCAGAGCTGTGGCAAGATTTGCTCCAGCAAGATCTCATCACAGGGCTGGGTCATTTCTCTTACACGATCCCTACATCTCTGCCAACAGCTTTTGGACATCTTGGTTGAGCCAAACACGCTTTGTGGAATGGGCTCCTCTCTTCCTGAGGGCATCCTGCAGGTGTGAGGATGAGCTGAAAGCACCTTGGTTCAGCTGTGCCCACAGGGACACTGCCCTCCAAGCATTTGGCATGCTTAGATTTCTGCTCTGACCCTGCTGCCTGTTTCACATCCAGCTCCTGACCTCACCTCCCTCCGGACCCCCAGCCACGGGAGGGGCTTTATTTCTGTTTGCACCACAGAACATCTCTTCCTGCATCACAGCAGCACAGGCACCCACACTGTGGCTGCCCTGCTCCACAGGGCCACAAACGCCCGCTCCAGACAAGCCAGCATGGCTGGGAAGGTCACGTTTCCTTTGGGCAATTCCTCACCGGCACTTGAGGAGATTTTAATATTCAGGCAAGGGAAATTTCTGGCAGCAGATGAGCTGTGTTTAAGGGAAACTCTGCAGACTCGAGGAGTCTTTTGCATGGTTGACGGCTCAAAGGAAGCTTTGCTGGCCCAAACCCAACCTTCAGCACTAAAGCTAATTCCAGAAAGGAAAATCAAATGCCTCCCAGAGGCTTTGCAGAGCTGCGCCAGAAAAATCAGGAACCCTCTACCAACCCACTGGACATTCCTGGCTCCTGAGCTCACCAGGGTACCAGGCCAGGAGTGTGTTGGCTTTGGTTGCCACCTCTGTTGGGTAGGTTCCCCCACAAAGCCAGGGCACAAGAGGAAAGAGGTTTGGGGAACAGGATGTAGGAGGAGCCAGGTACAACCCCAGAAGATACATTACCCCATCACCTGTGAAAAACCCAGTGTCCAGCACAGCTGGATATATCCCCTGGGAACTGCATGAATTAGAGGAGAACTGGGCAGGGCGGCCATCCCATTTCCTCTCTGTTGAGCTTTGGGAAAGGGACATGCCAGAACCAATGCAAGGGACCTTCCCCTTCCATGCAGCCTGCATTGCCCTGTCACAGTGCCAGATAACGCATCAGTGCAGAACATGGCCTAGGAGCATCTGCAAGTTCCTCTGCTGCTGAGCAGAGCGGCCAGGCTTTATTTCATATTGCATTTATCACACGTTTAGAAAGGGCCCTGACTGCTGGCAGGAGACGTGCAGCTCACCCTGTCACACGAAAGGGAAGAGGACACCCTCTGAAGGCTACAACTCCCTCACCCACTTGACCTTCTGCCAACAAATTAATCACTTATTAGTGGCATATAATGGCTCTGTGTGATGTGACTGAGTCAAGTATGCTGAAATACAGATAAAGCCTCCACTCATGTCATTCAGGACC